TCCATCCATCCATCCCTCCGTCCGTCTGTCTGACTGACTGTCCGTTTATCTATCCATTCGTCTTTCTATCATCTGCCTATCTGTCTGTCTATCGTCTATCTGGTTTTGTTTACATCTGTCTGTCTGTCTGTCTGTCCATGTTTCTATCCATCGATCTAACTACGTCGCTATCTTTCTACCCGCCGCCATACTTACACGCACAACTGCAAATGCCCTTGCCCACAGCCACTTTGGCTGAAGGACCTGAAAAACTTCACAGAGACCTGAGTTTACTCCGTGCCGTTTGGTTGTCTTATCGCCATGGTACGTGCAGTTCTGCCATTCCTTCTTGTGGTATCGGTGGTCGCCGATTTAGAGGGACAGATGGCCAATTTCCAGAAGGAACAAGAGGATGGAAGCAATACAGAGTGTGGCCCTTCATTCTGCTTTGATACCCAGACAGCAAACTGTTTTCAGAAGCTACCAGCGAAGGTATGCATGAGGGCCATTTACACGTGTGTCAACTACATGTTCACGGACACGAAGCCGCAAGAGTTCTGCGACAAGGAAAGGAAGAACGGTAACTCCGCAGCAATCGCTGCCCTGGCTTCGAAATCCCAGCCCGAGAAGATGCAGCACATGCCGCTGCCGGAGGCCATCTGGCTGATGTCGCTCATCGTTTTCGGTTTGGGCATCATCCTCAAGCATTTCCTGGCTCGCCCGAAGGCTGAGATCACAGGACTAAAGATGCCATTGCTCTGTGACGCAGTGTAAGATGCACTTGCGGCTTGCCCTGAGCCCTTGTGTCGTGCTGACACATAAGCCTGCTAGCTAAAGTATTGTTCACGCCAGCCCTTATCACATTTTCTTCCACGAATTGGCTCATCAGCCTAGTGGTGCATGTCATTCCTACTGAAGCAACAAAGCAGGCGGCAAGTCAATGGGTTCTTGGGCTCAGCAGTGCCTCCCGTCTTTAAAGGTGAGGCATCTTGAGCAGAGATTGCTTGCGCTGGGATGGTGCCGGTCCAGCTTGTGCATCTGTTGCGCCCGAGGGACTGGACTCGTTTTTCACGAATTCAGCTTTGCTTTGCGAAGTTGCCAGGCAACACAACAGTGTTGCATAAACGGCAGCCGGACAAGATCCACCTGTTGATCGCCTGAAAATGCTCTGTCAGCCAGCTGAAGGTGTTTTGCCCGGACTGATGGGTCAGGAATCTCAGCAACTCCGTCTTACCTCTCGTGGCTTGTTGATGTTGGTGGCTTTCAAGGCTTTTGGGGTTGATTCGTTTGTTGTGTGAACAGCTTGTACTTGTTCCCAGGTTGAGATCGGCATACCCTCTCTGTGCTATATGTGCTACTTTTTGCCCGTTAGTTGTTCTTGTTATTGTATCCGTGCGTTGATGCGTCCCAATCCTTACGCTTACCATGGCAATCAAACCCAATACGCCAAGACCAGAACCCTTAAATGCTCAACCCTAGACGCGACACCTCGGAAGCGCCAAATAATCCCTTCCCCCCAATGTTAAACAGGAGGGAGGCCCCCCCCCTCCACCCAATAAAAACTCGAAACGTGTTTTAATTATTAGGCTTAGGGTGCCTTTTTATGTCACCTTGGGGAGGATCTTGCTCCTGCTCTTGCTTCTGCTTCTGGCTCTTGATTCTACTCCAGCTCCTGCTGCGGCTCCTGCTCCTGTCGGGGCTCTTGCTCTTGCTCCTGCTTTTGTTCTCGCTTTTGGTCCTACTCCTGCTTCTGATCTTGCTCCTGCCTTTGCTCCGGCTCGTGCTCTTACTTCCCCCTAATTCAACATAGATGTTGAACGGCTGCGATTATTTCGGTGGATTTCCCGGAAAGTGTTTAATTATTAGGGAGGATGTCTAAAAAAAGGAGGAAGCGATCACTAGACCCTACAAACTACTTATTCAAGCCTGAATCCTTTAGCCACAAACCCTAGTAGTACGTAAGTCCTATACCCCAGCAGCAGAATTGCCGCGGTTTAGGGTTGGGGGTTTAGGGTTCGAGCTCTGCCCAGGCGCATCCCTGCGCAAAAGCCCTTCTACTCGACGGAGCCGTCGCTCTTGTTGAAGGCGGTTCAGGGTGCAGGGTTTCGGGCTTGGGGTTTTAGGACGCATACGTCTATGTGTATAGTACATACCAATATATTACACATATTTTTTGAATGTGTGAATGTTTTTATGTATATTAATATTAATATATATATATATATATGTATATGTCAATCTGTAGCTCTCTCCCTCGATAACATGTTGTTTTGTTCAGTGTCTAGGTTTCGGCTCTGAAGGCTTTTATGGCCTTGCTGAAGGCGGCATTCGTAGAGTCTACCCCTTTTTAGACGCAGTGAGGAAGTAATTGCAAGAAGCACAATCTTCCATCCATCATCTATTATGTGTGTGTATATATCTGCATCTCTCTCAATCTGTGTCTCTCTTTTTCTCACACTCCCTCACTCACTCGCTCGTTCACTTACTCTCACTCACTCACTCACTCACTCACTCACTCACTCACTCACTCACTCACTCACTCACTCACTCACTCACTCACTCACCCACACTCAATTTCGACCACCTGTTGGTTCTGTATCGAAATTCAGACTTGCGTCCTCTGCACAGGCATGCGACATCTGGCATGCTCACGTCAGACACCCTAAAACGTCCTCCGTCGGAGAGACGGCAAAACGCAAGCCCGAAACCTAACACGATGAGTCCCGATCTAGAACGCTGAAACGAAACCTAGCCGCCTAGCCAGCATGATCGAGCCATCTTCTCAAAGGCGGCATTCACTAACCTCTGGAAAGCACCGAGCCACAAGCTTGCGGAGGTGGCAAAAGCACCACTTCCCAACTTGGACCAGCTGGTGGCTTCGTCTCGTTTGCCAGGCTTCAGGTCAGCCTGTTTGGGCATCCCCCCCGCCCCCAAGAAGTCGTGAAACTGAGAAGGGGTCCGGAAGCCTTAGCCTCTTTTTCTGGATGTTCCGTGCGGCGTGGCTCGGAACGGACAGATAGATCCAACCCTTGAACTTGAATGTAAAAACGTTATTGGAGGTGTCGTGGCATTCATGTGGCCGCTGCTGCCGAAGCTGTCTTTGTACTAGTTCTGATTTGCAGTTGTTGCCGAAGTTGTCTTTGTACTAGGTCTAATTCTCAGTTGTTGCCGTGGAAATTAGTGAGTGTGAAGAAATACCGATTTGGGGCACATTGCATGACGAGGAATTGTCTGCAATCTCTCATGCACCAGATTCCTAGGGCCTCACTCTCAGAACCCGAACCCCGAAAGCACAGACTCCCAGCCCAAAACCAGACCCGAACAAAAGCCCAAGCCCGAGACCCACCAAAAGTCGTCGCAAACATTTAAGAATACTTGAGCCACACAAAAACCTCGAACACACCTAAACTACCCTAAACCGGAGACCACGAGGTAGCTTGCCTTGTTCCCGGAGCCGAGATTACAACTGAGGCAACTAGATTTTGCAGGGATCTTCAGTTTCGGTGTCGGGAATCCCCTAAACCCTGACCCTCTCAACCCTAAACCCTCGAGCCCTCAAGCGCTAAGCCAGCCCCGAAACCCCAAAGCCCTGGACCCCAAATCCCGCAGCCATGACTGGAACTTCGAGGATTTCAAGGTTCCAGGGCCTCGTAGGTTCTAGCGAACCCGAAGCCCACTTGGAGGATCATGGGACTTCGTAACTAAGGCTATAAACAAGGTAACTATTCTTACAAATTACCTATACCTCCAGGTAGGGTAATTCTATCTGTACTTACAAAGTCCCATGATCCTCCAAGCCCTCAGCCCGCAGCGGTTTAGGATGAGAGTTTAGGCTTCGGGTCTTTTTTCCTCCAGGTCTGGGAAGTGCGTGCTTTTGTTGGTTGCGGAGTATCGGCTTCCAGGTCTAAGTCTGCTTTTCGTAAGGATTCAGGGGGTTTACTTAACTCCTGACACTCAAGCCCTAAACCCTAAACCCTAAACCCTAGAAGCCTAAACCCTAAACTCTAGAAGCCTAGGGTAGTTTCACAAGAACGAGGCTCAGCCTGTGGGAGGCCCTGTGAAGCTCTTAGGATGTCCCTTAACGTGCCTAAAATCTTAATCCTAACCCCCCTGAACCCAAACCCCAAAACAGGATCTTGCAAAACGGAAGCCTTGAAGCAGTAATATAGGGGCCTCAATAATTACCTGTACTCTTTTCGGGGTTCCCTATTAGGATTATGGTATAATGGGACCCAAAACCCTCTTCTAATTCTTAAGGTCCCTACATTACCCCGAACCCGAATGGCGAAACCGTGCAACCTTCAGGGTTGTGGGACAAGTGCGGGGAACCTAGAACACGGCTTTCGAACACATACCTAAACCCTAAGCCCCTAAACCCTGAACCCTAAGCCCTAAACCCTAGGCCCTAAACCATAAGCCCGAAACCTTGAACCCTAAACCATAAGCCCGAAACCTTGAACCCAAAGCCCCAAAACCTGCGAACCCAAACACCCTAGCGCTGCCAGTGCATTTGAGCTGCAGGGTCTGCTGCTTCAGCTCGCCGACGACGACTTGGTCAGGGGGCTCAGGGTCCAGGGTTTCGGCTTAGGGGCCTCGGGCTGAGGTTTGAGGTCTTCGGGTCTCAGGGTTTAGGGTCTGGGGCTTAGGGCTAGTCTGCTAGTAAAGGGCTTATGGTTGGGCTTTATTGCGCTCTAAAGAAGCTTCTTAGTGCCCTGTGCCCTAGGGCTAGAGTTGGCATCCGAGGTCATCGTGGCTTATGCGCTGCAGCAGATTGAAGAGGTCGCTGCCAGAATTGGATCGGTTACTTTGGGTTCGGGTTTTTGTTAGGGTTTGGGGTTCGGGTTTGCAGAAACTGCTGATTCATAAGGAACCTGTTGTAGGGATTCAGGGTTTTGTATGTCTTTCGGAGCGGATAGAAGGATTCGGTGCGAGGTCGGTCGTCAAAGTTCTGGGAGCGGTCGCGATCCTAGTATAGTAGCGAAGCCGTAAGGGACTTACATGGTGTGATATGTATGTGTGTATGTATGCATGGATGTATGTATGTATGTATGTATGTATGTATGTATGTATGTATGTTTGTTTGTATGTATGTATGTATGTATGTATGTGTGATTATGTGTGTGAGAGGGAGACAGAAAGACAGAGAGACAGAGAGAGAGAGAGAGACGCACACACACAAGCATGGCACATGAACCCGTAGTTCATGTAAATGGGCTCCTCGCAAGAACGAAGGCGGCCAGCAAGCGCCTCATCAAGGAGCTGGAGGTGAGGGATGAATTGCGATCCACGCCGGTTCCCCGGAAAGGTTTTTGCGTGAAACTGAGCTTGAGGACTTAGCTTAGGGCTCAGGGCTTGTGCGGGTGTGGGGCTTAGGAATCAGGGGTTCGGGTCAGAACCTCAATAAGGGTTAGGAACCGAAGTAGGGATCGAAGTTTAGGGTTTCAGGCTGAGGATTCAGAGTGAGGGCTTTGGGAGTCACCGGCCCCTGGAGGCTCGGCGGCTAGACTCTAAACCCTAAACCCTAAACCCTAAACCCTAAACCCTAAACCCTAAACCCTAAATCTACACCTCAAACCCTAAACTCCAAACCCTACGCCGGTTCTGCTGCGCTTTGATCCGGACTTCGGGACTTTACAGCCCTTGGGGCTGGTGCAGTCGGTCCGTGGGGGACGAAGCTGGCGGCCCGATACAGCTTGATGAAGTATGTGGGAGTTTCCAAAAATTAGGGTACCTTATTTTGGGGTCCTTATAATAAGGATCCTATTATTTAGGGTACTATAAGGGTCCCCCATTTTCGGAAACCCCCATGTGTAACATGATAGGCATGAGACTATAATGTACCCGAAGAACCCGCGCTCCAGCCCCGAAACTTGCCGGCAGACCAGATGTCCCAAACCCTGAGACCTTCAACCAGGCCCCTTCTTAAGAAAAACAAAACCTACATGTTGAAACCCAGTTCAAGGTGCATGCACCGGCGGGAGTATCTGCAGCTGCTCGATGGGGCTCTGGCGCAGGGACAGGGCTGATGCGTGGGAGAGGCGCAGCAATGTGTAGAAATATAGACACAAAAGTAAAGTTGTGTAATATAATACAATATAATTCAATATAACACAATATAATACCACATAATACAGTATAATATAGTATGATAAAATAACATACAATATGATATAACCTAGTATATACTATAATGTAATATAGTATACTGTATTATAATGTAGTACAATATTCACAGAAAATGAGTATCCATACACTTTATATATATGTATAGATTACATTATATTACGCTATATTAAATCGCAATATAGCATACTGGAATATGTTATATCATATCATGTTATATTATACCATGTTATACTCCATGCTATTGTATTGTGTCCTATTCTGTTCTTTTCATTTCTATTACATTTTTTGTATTTGATCATATATTTGACTACCTTATATTATGCGATTTAATATTATGTTACCTTATATTATATTGTCTCGTATTACCTTATATCATGTTAGCTTACATCATTTTATATTATGTTGTATTATATTTGCTTGTATCATACTGTATTATATTATACTGTACTATATACTTTAATATAAGGTTATATTACATTATACTGTATTATACTATGTTATATTTTACAGGATTATATTTTAATAAAACTTTGTTTATTTTTTAGTATATCATGTTGAGTTTTATTATAACATGTTGTACTATACTAGACTATATCATTGCATCTTATCCTATCTCTATCCTATCTCATCTTATCTGGTCTCATTTTATGTTTCATTTTCTCATACCATTTCGTCATATTCATACTAAAACATGGCATAATGCAATATAGTATGGTATAATATAGTAAACTAGCATGTAGTATCATGTAATATTATTCATTATTATGTAATATTCTGTAATACTATGTAGTATAGTACAATCTACAATAATGTAATACAACATAGTTTCCATGTAACATAATATTATGCACTATTTTATAATATTATGCAATCTTATGTAATATTCTGCCATCTGCAATAGTATAATACAACACTATGGCATCACATAATATAACATGACATAATATATTACTTACTCACTTTGCAATGAGAGGTAGCCCATCTTAGCGCTAAACTCGCTTTTCCTTGCGGAGGTTCTTGCTATCCGCATGCTTCTGCCTCGTGGTTCTGTCGGTTCGTAGTTTCATGCTTGAGGGTGTCAATACACGTACCGCCGATCACGCTTTTGCTTTTTGTGTTTGTTGCCTGTTCATCTCGATCATGTTCACAATCGGAACAATGTAATAGAATCTTATATTATATTATATAATATAGTATAGTATAATATAGTATGATATAAGATAACATAATACAATATTGGTTACGTCATGACTGGCGGTACTCTCTCCGCTTACCAGTCGGATGTTTGAACTCTGGAGTCGCCTCTATACCCGATTACACATTGGTTGTTTCTCCGCTTCGATACATCTTTCTGTCCTTTCCGCATTCCTCCTTCTGCATTCTGACTTCTTAACTCTGACTGGTCTGTTCCATGCATATTACCCCGTTTGCTGGTCAGCTGTTCTTCTGTGTTCGCTTACTTCACTCAGCTTGACATTCGGTTGATTGCTCTCAACCCTCTATTCTGTGCCGGTTGCTCTTCGGCCTGCCTTTCTAAAGCTGGTCGCGGGGACGCGGCAAGGGGAGGCCGAAAGGGGTTCTTGACGAGTTGCCCAGAGGGCATCGCTCCGAGCTAAAAAGTGTGTATATATATATATATATACATACATACGTACATACAAGCACATACATACATGCATGCATGCATACATACATACATACATACATACATACATACATACATACATATGTTTGTGCAACCTTCCTGATGCAGACGACCTGTGCCGAAACCCCCGCTTGCACACTCAAAGGGTGCAGCAAAGTTGTACAAAGTGTGCCACAGCCGGGGCAGGCCAGGAAACCACAGTCCAGAGGTTTTGATATTGGGGTTTTGATGATTAGAGCTGTTTTGTTTATTGTTTTTGGGGGGGAGGTGTTATAGTCTCGTTATATTAGGTAGCCGTGCTGCAATACCTGTCTGTGCTTTGTCCCACACCTGTTATCCGGATTTCTTGTTTAGAGACAGGGCTCCAGAGGTGAAGCGGTCTGGCTCGTAGCTTTTGGCTTGGTCTGGGTTTGGGTCCCGGCGTCTAGGTTCGCAGGTTGGAGGCGCAGATCACTTGGGGTTCTTCTGGTGCAAAAAAAACTCAGAACTGGTGACGCTAAGGAGCAACAACAAGCTCGAGAAAGTGCATGTCCCTTGCGACTTCAAGCCTCAAGCCAAATCCTCGTGTCCTGCAGCATTCAGCATGCAACTCCGGAGATTCGATCTCGTCCACGCTCTTGCTCTTGGATTTCAGTGCGAGCCTCGAAGCTGCTTTGCTTCTCTACATTTGCGCCCAAAGCTTCGGTTGGTCGTTTGCACGGTTTCAGGGTTTGTAACCATCCCGACATTTTTGTCTTTCACGGTTGTTGCTTTGTGGGAAGTACTTGTAAAACTTTCAATCTTAAGCCCTAAAACCCCAACCCCCTAAAATTCTAAGCCCTAAGCCCTAATTGCTAAACCTGCATTTGAAAACCTCTGCCTGAGCCTCTTTGGCAAGTCGGCGAGTTCTCATGCCGACTCGGCCTTCGCTCCTGCTGACGGAAAGAAAGGCTTGTGGTTGTCAACTCCTAAACCCTAAACCCTCAACTCTGAAACCCCAAACCCCTAAACTCTAAAACGCTAAACCGTAAACCCGAAACCCGAACTCTAAAACCCTAAACTCGAAAACCCTAAACCCTAGAACCCTAAAGCCGTGTACCCTGAACCCTAGACCCCAAACCCCAGGTTCTGGAGAGCACCAAGATCCACTCATCATCCCAATAATCTGAGACCCCACTTAGGGTTTAGGGTTTAGGGTTTAGGGTTAGGGGTGTAAGCAGAGGCCCAAGAATACTGGTGCTCTTCCTTGGGTCTTATATCGCATAATATACACCCCAAAGCCCAACTCTACCTATTCTGGCCCCAATATCATCCTAAACCCTGAGCGCCAAGCCCTAGATGAATTTAGCGTGCTTAAATGTTTGAAAAGGGGTTGGGGGGGTATATTATACTATAATTACACGAAGGAGCCCCCCAAACCTAAACCCTAAACTCTAAAACCCTAAACCCTAGATCCGAAACCCGAAACTCTAAAACCCTAAACTCGAAAACCCTAAACCCTAAACCCTAAACCCTAAACCCTAAACCCTAAACCCTAAACCCTATCAAATTAAGGCCCCTGCAGTATCCCAACTCCGACTTCAGAGTTTCCGCTCCGGGCTCGAAGGCTCAAGGCCCGTGATCTGCGGTCCTCAAGCTGTCAAAATATACGGTTTAGGGTTTAGGGTTTAGGGTATAGGGGCCTTGATAATTACCTCTACTATTTTGGGGGTTCCTTAGTATGACCATAGTAGAATATACCCCAATACCCTATTCTAATCATTAAGGTCTCGACATCAGTTGCAGTAGCAATATCCAATATTCGTCGTGCTTAGAAGTTCGACTTCCTTCCCGAAACACTTGACCCTAAAGCACCTTTCCATGGTTTCCTTTGGGACTCCGTTGTTGAGGTGGGCTGGGGTTTAATTTTGCGTTTCGGTGTCTCGAGGGTGTTTTGGTGGGTTTGGGCTTGCTGCCTCCGTGCTATTGCTGCTCAGGGCATCCGTCCATGTCCTACCATGAGACCCAAACTCAGCAACTCTGGGTTTCATGCCAGCAAGCCTCAAGTTCGAAGAACCCTGAATTCCAAAACCTTGAAAACTCTCCTTGAGTCCTAAACCCTCAAGATCAAGTCGAGATGCTCTGCTTCCTTGATGCCCAAGTCCCGCCAGCCAGTACAGGGCATCCGAGCCAAGCTTCAAGCTGTCAGCGTGTCATTGCTGTAACATGCTTCGTCAACTTTAATCCCGCATGCTGCTCGGAAGCCCTCAGCCCTCGGCCTTACGAGTTCAGCCCTGCATCTCACACCCGTATAAGTCGTAAAGCCAAAACCTTAACCATAAACTGCCACAAAACTGCCACAAGCCCAACCTCAAAATGAAAAAAATCCGCAGACTTTGCGAACTGGAGCCAGAAAACACACATAGAACAGGAGCCTTCCATAAGTTGTAACACGCTTCCATTCTGACCCACTTACATTCTTCCAGTCGGTTCGGTCGCCCCATAAGCAACCTGAAGCATGGTTGTCCGGAACATGCCCTCTGAAACGTAAGCCTCGAATCCTCAGCCTCTACCCTGCTTTGCGAAGCCATGCTCCGGGGCGCCTTCCGACCTCCCCGCGGCCGTGCCATGCGGGCAGTCCACAGGTTCGGGACCCAACGAGGACCCGAGGCGCCGTAGGGAAAACCAGTAGTGGTAACAGTCATTCCTCCATCCTTGGTTAACGAGAACAACGCTGGTCAGCATTGTAATGTCATGCCATGTTGTATCATGTCATGTCATGCCGTAGTGTAATTTAGTATGATGTAATGTCATGCAATATTGTGTAATGTTATGTAAGGCATGTGTGTATCTAGTTGACTGAGGGTTTGGATCCCGGCAATATTGAATTGTGGGATTGGGACTTTAGATCTGCACAGTCTTTGATCGCTTGGCTTCGGTCCTCTAGGTTCGAGGGTTTCGGGTTTGGGATTTGAACATGAAGCCCTTAACCCTAAGCCTGGAACCCTGAAAGGAGCAAAAGGACACACTCGGGGCAAGCTCGAAATGGCTTCGCCGGAGAGTCAGGCGAGCGAAGCTGGCTCTGTCGGAATTCCAGGACCGGGCAACGGCTAGGGCTATCAGGCATTCAGGGTTTCGGGATTTCGGGATCTAGTAGGTGCTGGTGTAAGGATTGAGGGTCTAAGGCTTTGCTGGGTTGGGAGGCTCCAGAGCCCGAGGGCTTAGGAGTCTTCAGGTTGGCTGCTAAGCAGTATATCGGGTTATAGAGGCGGTACATATGTTTTTCAGGCTTAGAGTTTCGGGCGAGCGATTTTGGTTTGCATTCGTGTTTCGTGGAGGTGTTAACATCTGATTAGGTTTGTAAGGTTTAGTTTAGTGTGGCAGAGGGACAGGTGTTCGGCAGCGCCCGCGGGCTCTAATCAGACGTTGGACGATTGTTGAACATCCTGTGATGTTGTGTAGGGTACGCTCTCACAAATGCTTGCAGACTAAGCAAACATGCAGAGGTTACCAAGATTTACAGTCGAAGCGTACCGGTGTCGATTACTAGCTGAGGGGCTCCATGCAGCTACACCATGGCGATGTTGTCCTGTTGAAGTCACTAAGCCCTTTGACCCTACTTCTCAGATATTTCCGGACTCTCAACCCGCTGGCATAGAGAGTTAGTTTGCAGAGCAGCTGCGGTGATAAAGGGTTGTTGCGGTCTCACCCCTTCGTTCTACGCCATCATGCGTGTATTGTTGAAATCATATACAGCTCTCATTCCTGCAAAAGCCATCATTGCATGCTTTTGACCATCACGTCGTATTTTCAGCAGGATATTGGCAGCATTGCTCCCAGGCTCGCCAGTACTGCTCTAATTTTTGGTGTTGCTGGTGCCATGAATATGGTTCGCATCATTCGTGCGTTTATCATCCAATGCCCATCAGCACGCTTAGCAGTGAGAGAACTATGTCTTTGCAGCATTCGGAACAACCCGTAATGTGTTGTTCAGCTGTTCGTTGCAATCTTGGAGCCCTAAGCCCTACAGCCCTCAGTCCCGAAACCGAAACCGCAAACCTTGAAGACGCCAATCCCCCTCTTCAGCGAGGAGTCGGCCAAAGACCGTTACCTGCACTTCTCGGCGACAGGGAGGCAGCGCTTCAGAGCAGCTGAGATCGCTTTGGTCGAGGTTTGGGACTTGGGATTTCGGTTTGAGATTTTTTTGCATTTGGCAGTCAGGCCAGTTTCCAGCTCAAGGGCTGCAAAGCTTTTTTCGGTTCAGGGTTTATAGTTCACGTGTGTTGGTGCGGGCATGTGGAGGACGTCGCTGAGTGTGGTGTTGTCTTGGCGTGATCGTCATCATCATCATCATCATCATCATCACCATCATCACCATCATCACCATCATCACCATCATCACCGTCATCACCGTCATCATCGCCATCACCAGCACCCTCATCATCACCGTCATCATCATCATTGCAATCATCATCATCATCGTCGTCATCATCATCGTATTCCTCGTCTTCATCATCGTCATAATCGTCATCATCGTCATCATCATCGTCGTCGTCATCATCATCAGCATC